AGCGCTGCCATGGCCACGCTGTAATGTGGGCAGTGTAGACGTACCCTTAGAGAGACAGGTGGATCCTGAACTAGCTGTGACCTTTCAGGAAAACTATTCAGGCATCATTATGGCCGTGAAGAAGTCATTAGGGTGCATTAAGAGGAGAATGGAAAATGTTATGCCTTTAGATAGCTTAACTCATTTGGAATGCTGTGTTTAGTTTTGGTCCTCCTCTCTAAAAGGAGAACTGGAAAAACTTTGGAAAGAAAGAATTAAATAGAATGGACATAAGGCAGGGATGGCTGGGGAAGAGGAAAGGAGAGGCAGGTAGTGTGAAGAGTTTGCCAGGCTAAGAGGATTAGGACTCTTTTGCAAGGAGTAAGCGGAGGTGTGATAAAGCAAAGGTACATATACTCTCCCATAATACCAGAATAAAAAGGCTCCAGATGATAAGGAAACAAATTTCCACACTGTGACTAACCCATGAAACTCCTTGTTGCAGAATATTAAGACAAATGACATGATAGTTTTATTGTATTTTTGTTGTTGTTTTGTTTTTTAAAGAAACCATCACTACGTGAATAAAAATAGCAAATAGCACCTGCAGATCAGCCAGGATAAAATTCCAATTGCTATCAGCTGTGTTTTCATCTCATGCACTAGATGTATTTGGGGAATTTTACACACTCTGAAGCAGCCAGCATTGGCTGGTGTCATCCACATGATACTGGACTAGGTGGATTAGATAAGTTCTCTGTGTAGAGAACTTGTGGCAAGGCTGAACAAACAGATTTTTATAACTAGTCGCCCGCGCCGCTTCCCACCGCCCCCATTGGCCTGGGATGGTGAACCGCGGCCAGTGGGGGCCGCAATCGGCCGAATAAATAAATAAAACTGGCCCGGCCCGCCAGGGTGCTTACCCTGGCGAGCCGCGTGCCAAAGGTTGCCGATCCCTGTGTTAGAACAATGTACCGACGGTTGTGGTGGATTATTCAACACTGAAAATGTGTAAATCAAGATTGAATGGATATATTTTTAAAAGATCTGCTCTAGCTCAAATTTGAATTAACTCAGGGAAGTTCTATGGCCTGTGTTATACAGGAAGTCAGACTCTATGACCACAGTGGCTCCTTATGGCCTTGCTTATGAATCGCTCTACTTAGCACCCTCGTCTCTTCAGTGTTGTATATCCATCTTTCTGTCTTGAGAGGACTAGCTGGGAATGGTCAGCTCCGTTCCTCAGTTGTCTGGAGGGATTGATGTTAAGTGACATGCGACACGCCCTTTCACCTTCTCCAAGGGTTGAGTACATGGCTCCTGCAGCACCCGCCGGCCAGCTCTCCTGTGTGATAGCACAGAGCCCGGGACTGATCTCCAGGGATTGTCCTTTCCCTCAGCGTCACAGCCAAATGCTTCCATTGTGAAGGGTGTTTTGACATGCTCGTTCCATTGGGGCAATATAAGTTGCGTTGGGAAAATACTGGCTGCAGAGAAGCCGCTTAAGAGTAACCTGTTTACAGAGGTTGCGGGTGGGGAGTGGGCAGTGGAGTTCCAAACATCATGTTCTCGTCCGAATCAGAAGCTTTAAGGAGACATTGAATATGCTCAAAGCATGGCAGGCTTTATTGCAAAGTCCAGGGTTTGCTGGGCTATTGTAAGAGCTACACTGTGATTCTCAGAGCTGTCAGTAGAAAAACACATGCAAATGTAAGCCTTCAGAAACGAGCTGTATTCCAGGTAGTTCCCAGCACCAGAAGCACTGTTAGAAGTTCACTGACAACCGAACGCTGACATTTTAATTGTTTCCTTTGCCGTGAAAAGATGAAGATGGAATGTTTGTGCTGCTCAGCAAGCGCTGTCAAATGAGATGACGATAGGGTTTTCAAAATGTCGTCTGTGCCTGCATTACATACCGCACTGGTGGGTACGTGCATAAATATAGCTACTAGAAATACGGCATTCAGCGTTCTTCCAGGGGCTGCTGTGGCGCATGAACATTCGCACCCTCACCTGTCCCAACACAAGGCTAACAAGCCTTGTCTGAAAATCCTTGGGTAGCCAGGAGTTTTTATAACCTCGCACTGCTGGCCCCAAAGCGCTGGTCCGTGGCTGCTGCTTTATGACGACTATGGTTATCCTGCGTCAGGTTCCCCAAAAGAGGACACTGCTGGATGGGGGGAGGGTACAGTTGGGGAGTGCTGGAGGTGTGTGTGTACTGGAGAGGGGTACCTCAGGGTGCTGAGGGGTACCTGGGGCCTCACCCTTGAGGTGGGGGGCAGTGTTGCTCCCTGTCACGGTGGTAGGACGGCTGGCGCCGACTTGGGATGCAGCCACAGCCGTCAGTCAGCACTTCCCTGTGGGGCTCTCCCCCTCCCCAGCGCTGGGAGCCTGGGCTCGGGTGGGCCGGATCCAGCAGCTGTGGCTGCAGGGGCGGGACCAGTCGGGGCGCAGAGATTGCTCTTTCTCAGCTGCAGTATCTGTTCTGCGAAAATCCCAGACATTGCCTCTTATTCGAAAAATCCGCCTGGACGGAGGGCGGAGGATCAAAAAAAGAGGCGATGTCCGGACATATGGTAACCCTGCTAATGAGTGGAATTTCAAGCTTAAAGATTTACTGCAGAGAGAGACCAGGGGCTGGATCCCTCCTACAGTCAGTGGGCAGTGACCTAGATAAGGGGGAGGAAATCTCCGTTGTGTAGAATCCCCTCGGTGGTTCTGTTGCGGAGGTGGGGTTTACCCCTGCCTGGAATTTGCCGCAAGTCTGGCCCTGAGCCCATGAAGGTCTCCCAGGATCTCTGCCTGCGTTGATGCACTCTGCACATGCCGCCTGGCAGCAAGCTCCAGGGGAGTCATGCTACCAAGGACTCCCCCAGGAGCTCTTCCCTCCCATAAAGGGGAAATCTGTGTTGCAAAAAAGGCTCCATGGCAAAGCAGTAGGTGTATTATCTTTCCTAGGCGACCTCCAATGGGATGCATCCCTGTGGAGATCTTCTTGGGGCCCTATGTAGCAGAGAGGGAGACTGAACTGTGAAGACAGCTGAGCTCCTCTTGGCACGAGGGGAGAGAGTCGTGTGTGCAGCGTCCCCTCCATCTTGAGAACTTGGGTCCATGCCACATGTGGCCCCCTGTTAGGCCAGTGTGTGGATTTGCTGTGACTTAAAGCTAGTGCTGAGTTCTGTGCAGTTACGCTGGATTGATGCTACTGTAGCTGAGCTCAAGGAGCTCTGCAAGGCATTGAAAAAGCACTTCTCGGTGTGCCTGGGCATCTCCAAGGGACCTCTTCTAAAGCGGAGATGCTTGGAACCAGAAACAGCAGCAAGAATTTTGAAAGGCAAATACCATTTCTGGTCTGTTTCTTTTCGAAGTAAAAAAAATCAATTTACTTCTAAAAATATACCCTCCACCTCTGTTTCCTGGTCTGTACGTCTCTTTTCAAATCAAGTGTTACCTTTTACACAGAGCCCTCCCTGTTTTGGGGCGCTGTGTTAGCATCAGCTTTCCAAGATGACCCTGCTACGGACATGAACTGCACACTGACTCCTTCGGGGATGTGTTGCAAGCTGCCTGGAGTATGTTTTAGATAAATTCTGAACTAAAATATAGAAGAAAATGTGCTTGGGGTGGGAGCCGCTAAAACGTGCAGCAGCAGTGTATAAAACAGAAAAGATTCTGCTTCAAGCACGCTGGACATACTGCGAAGCATCCAACTTCCTGAAAGCTATTTTAGGCTGTGTCTAATCTATCCATTTTAGGTATTTCCAAGGCCTCATCACCTGCTCTCTAAGTACTGTCGGCTTGCTAATGGCACAGAGTATTTTGTATCCAGTTAAAATGCAATGTATAGAAAAGAATTTGTCAGCACAAATTGTTCCCCACCTACCTCTTGAGTAGTGCTTAGATGTGAGTGAGGAGACTATGGTAACTAACAAGGAGTTTCAGAGTAGCAGCCGTGTTAGTCTGTATCTGCAAAAAGAACAGGAGTACTTGTGGCACCTTAGAGACTAACACGTTTATTTGTGCATAAGTTTTCGTGGGCTACAGCCCACGAAAGCTTATGCTCAAATAAATGTGTTAGTCTCTAAGGTGTAACAAGGAGTTGCAGTCAGTGTGCTCTGGGGTCACAGATGCACAAACAGGAATTTTGAAAGTTCAATTCCTCCCTCAGTCCAAACCAATTCATAATCCTTTTTTTTATATTTTTTTAAACTCATTGGTGGCATTCTTTGCAAATGTGGCTGCCTGTTTCATAAGCCCCGTAATTCATTGGTAATGACTCTGGGTAAGTAGTCAATTATATTGAGAAATTTCTTATACCTACAACAAAAAGATGAAAAGAAATGCTCCCAGCACTTTAGCATGCATAAGTAGTTGGTTATTAGTTGCCTAGTTACCAAAGACCTGCATTAGGGTTCCATTTAGAGAAGTAGTGCTGAATGTAAAATCTCAACCAGTTTTCTTCCATCTCAGGTAAACTTGATCTCAAACTAAACAAACATTTAATTTAATGCAGTGTTTCAGTATCAGAATTGTTCTCAGTTTAAAATAGCCCATTTACTTTGAGTTTATTTGCTAAAGATAAGAAATTGCTTTTTTACACACACAAATATTTTTATCAGTTTGGGATGATAGGACACATGGTTGCATTTCATTTAATGATCCGGTAAACTAAAATGTATAGATTATTAATTATTTTTTATTGAATATAGCTTGGCACAAAAAAAGCCATCAAACTGGAGTTAAGTTTGAAAGTACGTTAGCATGTCTGAGACCCGAATGTGAAAGTCCTTACAAGAATGTTGTAGACACTACAAAACATACATTGGAAAAACAGGAAATTCTGAATGAAATTTAAACTTAAACACAAACCTTTTGTACCTTCCATGGAGAGGAAGGGAATCAGGTTGGAAGTTAAAAGGAGAACAAAGGGAGGCACATGGTTACTCCCACCTTTCATGTTACTTTCATTGTCAAATATTCCCATTTTATATTTCTATCTCATCCATTCATTTTTTTTCCAGATGTTAAACCATCTAACATTTTGGTAAACTCTAGAGGTGAAATCAAGCTTTGTGATTTTGGTGTCAGTGGACAACTGATAGATTCAATGGCAAACTCGTTTGTTGGGACACGGTCCTACATGTCTGTAAGTACAGCTCTTTTAGCTTTGAGTTTACTATGCATTGTGGTATAGTTTTTGGTGAAATCACGACTGCCGTCACTACAGTTTATTTACAATTATCACTCACTGCCTCACTGAAGTATTCAAGTATCACATCAAAGTTCAAAAATGGATTTGTTGCAATGCGTGACTTATGACTTGGAGTCTTCTAACATTGCAAAAGAGATGCTGATGCATCTGCATTGCAAAATCCAATCAGCTAATGCATTGGGGTTTTGTGTACATGCATCTCCAAAAAAAAAAAGCGTATAGAGTTTGTTCTTCTTATACAAGTCTTTTTCCCTATCCCACCCCCCAAAATTTCTCAGTTGCTACAATTGCGAGGCTAGGCAAGATGCTGTCTACACAAGTGCTTCTACCATTGCTATCGTAGGGTGAGTTATAGTAACGGGGGAAAAGGTTCATGTAGACAAGGCTTAGTGCAGGGGTGGGCAAACTACAGCCTGCGAGCCGGATCCAGCCCGCAGCGCCACCGGCACCACATCCCTGCGGCCCACGGGCAGGGGGGCAGAGGGCTCCATCAGTTGCCCTTGCCTCCAGGCACTGCCCTCCGCAGTTCACATTAGCCAGGAATGGGGAACCGCGACCAATGGGCACCTCGGGGGAGGTACCTGGAGGCGAGGCAAGGGCAGTGCACGCAGAGCCCTCCGCCCACCTCCCCCAGGGGCCACAGCGCTTCCGGGAGCGGCGTGGCGTGGGGCCAGGAAAGGCATGCAGGGAGCCTGCCCTGGCCCCAGTGCGCGCTGCTGCCACCCTGAAGCCGCTTGAGGTAAGCGGTGCCAGGCTGGAGCCCGAACCCCTGCTGTACCCCACCCCCCAACTCCCTGCCCTAAGCCCCCTGCCTGCACCTCGCAATCCCCCTGCCCTGAGCCCTCTGCCACATCCCGCACCCCTCCTGCACCCTAACCCCCTGCCCTGAGCCCCCTCATACACTCCGCACCCCTCCTCTGCCGTGATCCCTTGCCCTTAACCCCTTCCTGCATACCGCACTCCTTCCCGCACCCTAACCCCCCGCCCCGGCCCTGCATACAATTTCCCCACCCAGATGTGGCCCTCGGCCCAAAAAGTTTGCCCACCCCTGGCTTAGTGGCTAGTGTGGGACTACCTTAGTGGGTGTTCTCTTTTGAAAACTAGTATTCAGGAATAATGTGCTATTTAAAGAAGCACTGTGTATCATGTGGCAACCATCACGAACATGAATTGTGGCTCTTTCACTCTAATGTATGATGGTATTTGTCAATTTAATGCAGATTCTATTAACTCATAAAGCTAGGGCTTTCAGAGTTTCTTCAGTAGCTATGAAATTGAGGCTGGACCTAAAAAAAAAAGAGGGGGGGGGAAAGGTATATTGCTCATTCTACTCAGAATGGATCCTGCTTTTCAGGATGCTATCTTCTCCATTTGTCATCTGAGGTGGGTGTCAGGTTAGAAGTGAACCAGCAATTTATGTTGCAAACTTGAGATTTGTGGGTGCTGTTAAACAGCAAAAAATTGTCACAGCTCCTCACTTTTTGCCCTGGGTGCTGGTGTTTTTGTTTTTATTTTTCTTCTGATCAGGAACACTTGAGGAACAAAGTGTCGCATAGCTTCAATTTCCGCTGACATGTCACTTCCACAGGTTGAAGGTCTAGCTTGGTCCCACGACATTGTATTTCAAAGATCAAATCATGGTGGTGAATCTGCTTGTTCTCTGTCGTAGTTCATTCTTTTGCAGGCAATTACTGATATTGCACAGTGTCTCTCTTGGCACTGTGTTTCAAACTATGGGCGAAAAGGCTTTGCTGGACCATGATCATTTTGCAGGCAACACCTGATTTTTGATGTCTCAATACAGCGAGATTAACTTGGAGCTATTTTCTATCTCCTGTCCGCTACACGCCGTTCTGATGCACTTAGTGCCATAAAGGTCATTTTCATGGCTGCTGCCTGCTACGTCTCATTCATTCACTTTTGTTTTTCATCTAATACTCCAGCAAACTCTAGAATTTATCCCCCTTTGGATAGTTATTCTAAAAGGGCTTTGGCTCCAGCTCAGGTGGGACATTGGAGAAGGTCTAAGTATGAACTCGCAGAAATAGTATGTGGTTAATAAAATACCAGTTACACTTGTCATAGTGGTTCAAAGTTGTCATTGGTTAAAGGGTTTAATGGCTATAGACCACTGACATCCGATAGGAATATGTATGAGGCTGTTAACTCAGTTTTCAAGGTATGAGTGCCTAAATGTGTGCATTCGAGTCTTTGCTCTTCTGGAGAACATGAGGCTCAATAAAGAGGCGGGAAAAGGGCAAGATGAAGTTTTGTATTGAGCCTTCTCAAAGAAAAACGTATATGGGAACCATGTGGATTAATTTTATATACTAAAACTACAAGAGGGAGAGTGTTTTCAGTCTTTACCACTGGTTTGGGGGTGCTTTTTTTGCCACATAATACTAATAAAGCAAGTGCAGTAACTGACTGTATATTCCAGTCTGTGTTTTGCACTTTATACACTGCTCTCATGGACATCTTGAGAACCTTTTCAAGTGATTTTTGTTGGAATGGCTGGACCAGTTAGTGTGACTGTACCTGAAATACATGTTTCATTTCCCCAATGTGTGATTCAATTTTAAAAAACAAAACCATATTTTTAGTTGAAGACGTGCCATCTGTTAGAGAGGCTCCTACCTACATACTTCCCACTTGCTGAAAGGGTAGGTTGGCATGAGTGTGTATACCACGTATATTGCATTTTTTAATCTTTACATGAGATTTTTTTTCTCTTTGTCCCTTCTGTGCTCTAAGCTTTCCTAGGCAGAACACCATCCCAATAACATTACATTTCAACATCTGAATGGTTTTGAATGTGCCCATCCCACATGGAAACTATTTGAAATATTTTCCTACATTGTTTTCACACTTGTCAATAAAGCACTCCAGGAAACCTACACACTACATTTTACAAGCCGAACATATGTTTGAATAGGACAGACTCTCATTTTTGAAAAACCGTTCAAATAATTTAAATCTGTTTTCTTCAGAAGTAAATTAAGTATTTTGAAAAAGAAACATCTGAAATTGGAGTTTACTGTTGCGTAATAAGTACATTCTCCACAGTGATAAGTTTTTCCTTTTATTTAAAAAAAAACTTAGTTGAGTCATTGAAATTATATAAGAACAAATATTTTTAAATAATATTTTAATATTCATGACCAAATGCTAACTGTTTGCCTATTCCATTAACTACAGGAGCTGTGGTACATATTTCACCTCTCCTGAGTCATGCTATACAGCCCACAGTTGGCAAATTACGCCTTTGAAATACAGTAAATAGATACGCACCAATGTGTTCAAGCCCCAGTTTCATTGTGTCACAGGAAGGTTGGCATTTTAAGGGGTTCAGGGTCCAGCTTCTGTTCTGTGCCTAGTTTCTGCCCAGAGCAGAGGCATTCTGGGACTGGGTATGGGAACTGCGGGCTATGCAACAGTGCAATGGAAAGCCAAGTGGAATTTAAGGCTTTTGCAAAATGCACTACTGCACAGTCTACAGTTTCCGTGTGCCCTGGAGAGCTAAGGCAGGGGAGGTAATCTCTTTTATTGGACCAATTTCTGTTAGTGATAGAGACAAGCTTTTGAGCTTACACAGAGCTCTTCTTCAGGCTTGGAGAGCTGTCCGTCTCAGATTGCCTGTCTTCCGGACAGAAATCTGACGTAGGTAGAGGCTGGACCTTAAACCTCCTTAAAAGGCCAGCTTGCCTTGTGACATTTAGAAAATCTTTAAAGTTTTCCCCTTTCTTTCTTTCTTGAGGAAAGGGGTGAATCCTTGATTGCCCCAAAATAACTTTGATTTTCTTATTTTTTCAATTTACATGTGAGTTCTAGCAATGAATTCTATTGCAATACTAAGATACTAGCTCAAACACTAGTATTTTCTTTTGCAAAAAGTAGTAAATCACCATTAACAAAATGTTTTAAACACTTCATTAAAGGTAAATTTCTATAAATTTAACTGAATTGGGTATCTGAGTTGTGCTACTGACAGTGATTCAATTCAATGTTTATTTTTAAATTGTGATGAAATTGTAATGATTGTCTTTAATTGTTAAAGTTCAAAGTACCTGAGGTTTATGGAAGAGTTCGGATTCCAGACACTTTTAAAAAGTCAGTTATGGACTCCTTGACTACCATAATGATTTTTTAAAAAGTCATATTCATATGCTCAAGTGTTTATTTTATCCATCACTCTTTCCAGGTTATTGCAGTGTGTGATTTTCTTACCTTTTACAATGTTTTGGCTTTTCTTTTCGTAGCCGGAACGACTCCAAGGTACTCATTATTCAGTGCAGTCAGACATCTGGAGTATGGGATTGTCACTGGTAGAAATGGCCATTGGCAGATACCCAATTCCCCCTCCTGATTCCAAGGAGTTGGAGCTGATGTTTGGCTGCCCTGTGGAGGGAGACTCTCCAGTTTCTGAGACTTCACCCAGGCAAAGAACACCTGGCCGACCAATGAGCTGTAAGTGACTGATGCAGTGTAGCATGTGAAAGCTGGATGGGTTTGATGGGAAGAATACATAGCCCAAAGGTGGGGTTGGGGGCGGGGGGAGGAGGAGAAGAGGGAAAGCCAGATTCATGTTGTCTCCTTCCAGCTTCATGGAGATCCCAGAAAGAAGCTATTAGAACTTTGCTGCCTTTGTCAAACAGACCTGTGCCTGTACCCTTCTCCAATGGGACAGTGTGTTTGGAAGAGCAAAACCGAGTATTGTCAGACTGAATGTATTTCTACCTTATTTTACAAACAGTTAATATATATCATCCATTTGTAGCCTATGGACCAGACAGCAGGCCTCCAATGGCAATCTTTGAACTTCTGGACTACATCGTCAATGAGGTAAACAGCTGTTTACATCTATCAGAACTCCCTTTTAAACTGTTAATTCAAGATTTTGGGGTCCATTTTTTTAAAGTATATATTGTAAACCAAGCCTCTTAGCTCTCTTTAAAAACACAGTGGACCAAACTCATCCCTGGTGCAAATGCACTGGCTTGAATGAAGTTATTAGAGCCCTGCGCGGATACAAAATTTGTATCTGCATCCGATCCACAATCTGCAAAAATGGTCTGCGGATATAAAGCTGATATCCATGGATTTGCAGGGCTCTAGAAGTTACACCTGGGATACATTTGGCGTAATCTATTGCAACCGAAGATCAGGCTTTAAATAGGTCTGTGGCTTTCCAATGACACGTGTGGTTAGGAGAGAGGATGGCAAAGAGTAATATCAAGTGCCTGCATAACTCTCCCTGTGTTTGTTTTACCGCTATAATTGTTGTCTCTGAATTCCCCAACTACAGCTAAACTCTCATAATTCCAGTGCTTGTGTCTTTATTGCATCTTCTTCTATGTGCTGGCAAGGGCTGACCTGCCATAAAGAACAAGAGAAATCCCAGTACCAAGGGATCAACAAACTACTAACTACCAAAGTCAAAGAAATTAAATATGATTACTGGTGATTCATGTATAGGCATTTCTAGGACACTCATAATTACCAGTCAGCATTGATGTTTGGTTCTCCTTGGGTTCTAGATTTTACCTGGGTTACTGTTATGCTACTGCAGGGGTTCTCAAACTGGGGGGTCGGGACCCCTCAGGAGGTCACGAGGTTATTACATGGGGGGTCGCGAGCTGTCAGCCTCCACTCCAAACCCCGCTTTGCCTCCAGCATTTATAATAGTGTTAAACATATAAAAATGTGTTTTTAATTTATAAGGGGGGTTGCACTCAGAGGCTTGCTGTGTGAAAGGGGTCACCAGTAAAAAAGTTTGAGAACCACTGTGCTACCGCATCCGTTTCTAAAAGACAGAACTCCTCTCATGCTCTTATTTCAGAGAGCTTTACAATACCTCTCCTGGGGTCAGTCGAGCAGACTGAACACTGGGTGTCATTGCAGAATCTTGTGCTTTGGACTGAAAATGAGGATGTTAAAACATCAAGGCTGATATTTCACTTCAGCTCTTATTCGTAGCTGCATTGAGTCTTCAGACACTGGGATAGAGAGTGGCATTCTTATGGATACAAATGAACGCGTGTGCACGCACACACTTGCATTTTCATCCTCCTCGCATATAAAAGACAGAAGGCATTTTATAAGCGTTTACTGATGTTTCATGTTTGTACTCCATTAGCTATATATATAAAAAAGTTTCAAAATCTGACTCGCTGCCAAGGCCGTGGCCCCTGCAAACACTTCTCATTCCATAGTAAATATGAGTGCACATGCATTGCCATGGAAACACTAAGTATATGTTTTTTCATTCTTGAAATACAGCTGGTTTTGCCGTACTTAATACGTTAAAGCCCTGACTGTGCAAACACTTACACTATTGAGTAACTTAATGCACAGGAGTAGCCCTATTGAACTCAGTGGGCCTACTCGTATGCACAGTTACTCACATGTGTAAGTGTGTAGATTTAACTCTAATCCAGTAGTTAACAACTTGGAGGAGAAGGCAGTGTCTACCCACCTTTACATAAAATAACTCTTATCTTACCAAAATGCTTGGATTTTAGCTAAAGATTTTTAATTCAGAACCTGCCTGTACTAATTCCCTGTGGCAGGATATTTAAATTAGGCTAGAAATGTTATGCAAATAAAGATACGTAAATGGCCTCTCCTCCCACCCCCACTGGAGGATGGCGATAGATACAAATCGAATTAGACCGTACATACTTGCTGTAAGGCTGCTTGAAGCCCTTGTTGTTGGCAGCTATACATAGAAAAATTAATGAGAGCTGTGCATGGTGCTTACCAGCATCTGGGTCCGTCATTGGCAGGTAAAATTCCCAGAGAAGGGAACTGCGGTGAGGAGCATATAGCTAACATGGCGACATTAGTGTTCGTTTGTAACTTTTTAAAAACAGACTCTTCCTTCTGTTTAGTAATGCAGGTGGGAGTGCTTTCTTCTTTTAATAAAGATGCTCAGTAAGTTAAGATTGGACGATGGCATTGAATCACTGCCTATCATTAGGGACAGACAGCTGGGAGTAGTCCCACCCTAGTGAGAGACTCAGGAAGTAAATGTGTCACATGGACTCATCCTAGGCAGGGTTAGAAAACACAGAACTTAAAACGGCAGCATCTTGTCTACCTGAGCGCTCCTTATTTGGCCGCCATCGGCGGAGCTGTACCAGCTGTGGCAACAGCAGGAAATGTGAGGGAAGAATCCTAGTGTAAGCAGGTGCAACTTGCATTCCCTTCTGCAGCCAGCCAGTTCTGCTGGCCATTGTGGACTTGGGGCAGAGCTTTGGCCCCACCTCCTTTGCAGAGTCTAGTGCATGAAGCAACACTAGCCCTCAGAGTTCATGGATTCACAGAGCACAATGACTCCACTGTACTGGGTCACAAAGTGGAGAAGCTCTTTTCCTCTTCGCCTGGGCTCTCACAGGAGGTGGGGAAAACGTCTCTAAACGTTCAAATGGAGAATGTCCCAGTTTGTATAATAGGCAATATGGTAACATTTCCCCTTAGGCCAGCTGTCCCCGGAGCACCTATAGTTCAGCCATTGCTAATGACATTCCAAAAATTGGCCAGTGTTTTGATTGTAAAGTGTAGTAGGATAGCAGGTTTCCTCTCTGAAATCACGTGTCAGCGTATCTAATCTCCACTGGTCTGAAAGCCAGTCATCTTGTCCTTGCTCCAACGCCTCCGCCATAGTGTTGCTGTTACACCACTGGGCCCAACAAGCTATATACAGACTTATAACACAAAAATAATCAACTCCTTGAGATGTAAGAGCATCACTCCATTCCTTTTGCTTTAATCTACCATTGATTTCATTTCCAGCCTCCTCCAAAATTGCCCAGTGGTGTTTTCAGTCCTGAATTTCAAGATTTTGTGAACAAATGGTGAGTGTTTTATGAGGTGGTTAAGCTTCCAGGGGACCATATGTGGGACATCAGTTTTGCTTTTAGTCAGAAAAATGTATTTGCTTTAAAAGGATCCCAAAGCTAAGAGATTAGTTCTTTCTTCAAATGTGAATGCTGCTACTTTGTGGAGCTGTGAACAAATGTTTTCACATAGTCAGGACTCAGTGGTCTTTATGTAATGTCAACTGCAAAAGGGAATACAGTACAAACTTGGGGCCTGATCCTGTAAACTCTTACTGCTGGGTGTAGTGCTTACAGCCATAAATAATCCTATTGAAGGCTTGCAGGTTAGGAAGCGCTATACCCAGCAGGTAGGGGTGCAGAATCAGGTACTGAATCATCCACACTTTTAGTACTTGGTCCTGTCTCCCCACGGTGATTATTTACACTAGAACTTTCCCCAGTTATGCAAAACTTGTGTCCCCATGTAGGCACGCCAATGATCAAACTTGTAGTGAACTGGGTGTTTTCTGTATGGATTCATTTCCTGTGGAAACTTTACACCTGAAAAATTACATTTAATTTTTAACATATTTAACAAACCCAAAATCTTATTTCTTGGGGCTGAGGTGTCTTGACTAACTGGAGCTGCAGCATTTTCAGCTCCCAAGGGGAATAGGGGACATTCACAAAACACACAGTCCCACCAGCCCCTTCCAGCTGGGAGGCTCAAAAGGGGTCCCATCCCCCCCTTGCTCCTTCTCAGTCAGAAGGATGATGTTGGGGGAAGGGATTTGCAGGCCTGGAAACATCCATATTTTGCAGACTGAAAATTCAGTTTAACACAGAAATCACAGGAATCCTTGCCAGCTGGGTTCCTGTCATGTATTCCTGCCCCCACAAGAACACACATACAGCACAACACCCAGGATAATTTCATATATGAAGTTGCAGCCTAGAGTGAATTTTACTACCCATTTATGAACACCTAAAAAACGGTAATTGCTTAGACCCTTAAATGTATAGTAATGCTTAGAGGTGCAGTAAGAAAAACTTAGCTAGGACACTGAAAAATTGTTCAGCACAACCTGCTGGTAAAGCATGTCCTTGACAAGAGACAATTACTCAACACTTTTGACATTTTCTATTAACATTTTGTTTTCTTAGCTTAATAAAAAATCCAGCCGAGAGAGCAGATTTGAAGCAACTCATGGTGAGTAAAAGCTCTTTGCTCAGTTATTAAGAGATTCTGGCCCGTATTAGATAACCCAGTACTGTAGCTCTATGCGGTTTGGTCCGTCGGAAGAGCCTAGGTAGAATTCTCAGCTCACCTAAGCAAAGAGGAAGGCAAAGATTGGTGTAAGCCATCTCTTCACTTGTTGCGACCCTGTGGCCAGCAGGGCACCAAACTGGCTCCTAGCACAAGTTAGTTTGAACAGTCTCCTAGGGAAAATTCTGCCAGCCTGGGATTGGTGGATGGCATCCGGCTCCAGCTCTATTCCTTCCTGCCCCAAAAACAGCCCCCCCCACCTCCTCAGCCAGGAAGAGTTGACACAAAAGGTGGCTATTTAAGGATTCTCCCACACTGCAAGAATCCTCAGCTACCCTATAAAGGCGGCTTTAAGGTCACTGCACTATTCTAGTGGGTCACTGCGACCTTAGCAGGACTGAGAATCTAGCTAGCTGTTTTAGGTCCTTAATTTGGGTGATGATAGGTTCTGTCATTTTTTTAAAACTAGTATCTTAATAAAAAGATCTTTCTGATATTTGTTAATTACAATGAGGACAGATTATTTACCTCTTAAACTTCCCTTTCACTATTTAAATGAGCTGCAAACAGAATGGTCTTTGCTTTAATTTAGTAATTACATTAATAAAATATATTGGTTATCTTCAGAGGAAGAGACAGTAAGTGCATGTTCCTTTATTGTGGCTGGTCATTATCTACTGGAACATCTTGGACTGGGGGAACATACAGCTTTCCTTTTTTACTGTCAGAGTATTTTTAGAAGAGCTTACATCAAAGGATGTAGCAAATTTGCAGCACATGGTCCCTAATCCTGCAAAGTTACTCTGCTTGGGCAGACTCCATTAACTTTATGCAAAGTAACTTGCAAGATCAGGACCTCAGTCTGCAGCAGAAAGGGAAGATGAATTAAGACTGCCTCTCTCCCAACTGTAAATCATGGATGTGAAGAGGTAACCAGATAATTTCCACCACTTAATAGAGCAGAAATGTAACACTATGTATTAAGGCATAATACTTAGTGCATTGTATGACTTTACCTATCTTCGATAACTGTGACTCAAATGTACTGTATACTAAGGTGATTGTCTTTGTAACCAAACACTATATATATATGTCGCATGACAGTTGGAGTTCCTCAAGAATGTTTTGCAACACATATTGCTTCATTATACTAGCGTAGAAGACCTGAAAAATGAAATGAACTAATCTGTTCTAATCAGATCATGTTGAGTACAATGCAAAATAAAAGAACAAACAACATGAATGGTGAAGTAAATTAGACTTTAAAAGTTTAATTTCCATGTTAATTATTTTTAACATGTTTAATTGTTTTAATCTGTGTCCCATTATCTTCTTCTTTAGCTCATTCTCTTTCCTTCTGTCTCTTTATTATAGATTCATGTTTTCATTAAGAGATCTGAAGCTGAGGAAGTGGATTTTGCAGGATGGCTTTGTTCGACTATAGGCCTCAACCAGCCTAGTACACCCACGCATGCTGCTGGAATTTGAATATTGACAGCAAATCTTGTACTGTACATCTGTTAAAACAAGGCTATTTTGGTCTCATTTCTCAAGCTTGTATCTGTTCAAATATGTATTTCACCTCTTAAGGAAGGAAGTCTGTTCTAGCATGTGCCAAATCCTGTTTGTTTTAAATTTTTGTCCTAAATTAATTGGTGGTGTATTGGATTACTTTTACTGACCAAAATGTTTGAGATGTTGAAATTATAGTGCTTGCTGATTAAGTGAACTTGGATATTTTTTGTAATGGAAATCTCACTGGGGCTACTTAGTCCCAGATTGTTTGAGCTCTATCAGGATTCCTTGTAAGTTGGTGGTACTGTACTTCAATCATGCTTATCTAGTCTCCCATACAAGGTTGTTAGAGATCCTCCTAAACAATATTTGTCAAGCATGCTTTCGCTGTTATCAAAATGTGCATCTCAAAGTTAGTCATAATGGTTCTGATCTTGCTTTTGTGTAGAGAACTCTTGCCCGTTTAACTGAGAAGAGTCCTGTATTGCCATGAAACACAAAGCATCATGACTACTTTTAGACTTCTGTTTATATTTCTATTTATTTTTAAATGTACTGTCATACTTGGGATTGTTTAGTAGTATGTCTCCTTTAATTGGTATTTTTTAAAAAGTAGCTTTTTTTGAATGTCCTATAGACTCAAGAGCTAAGTGCATCAGACTTGCTTCCTTTTAACCCAACTAAAGAAGACTTATGACAACTGTGTGTATAGTGTCTAAAATGTATGAAAATCCTTTTTATTACTTATTCTTTCAGATGGTTAGCAGTTTAATCTCTTATACTAATAAATATATTATCAAGTAACTTCGTTAGAGGACGGGTATTTTTAAATTCTTCAGTGTAAGTTGGGAATAATTGGAATTTAACTGACAGAGCGCACAGCTTTGTAGAGTGGGTGCACACATAAAATGAAACAACTGTTTAAATATCTTCAGGAAATAAGCACCTGTTTGATACTATTGTGTTACATAAACCCCTTCCAATTACCATAAGCGCACATAGGCTTTTCTCCTCACTTTTCACTGTCTCATGTTGAAGTAAACTGGAATCCAATCCTCTTTTTCCAACATACATAGTGCACTCACCTGGGTCAACTTGAAAAAGGAGTTCAATACTAGCGTCTCTCTAACAGCATCACATACCCTATTTCTGAACACAGCACTCTTTTCTTACACAGTAGGTAGAGGCTCAGGCCTTCAGTTTACATTTTGTCTCTAGCCCTGTGCTGAAACCTTTGCCTATGTTGTGGTGCCAATGTGCACCATAAGAAGTGTTGTTTACTCCTTCTCATAACAAGAACTAAGGGTGACTAAATGACATTAGTAGGCAGCAGGTTTAAAACAAACAGAAATATTTCTTCACACAACACTCAGTTAACCTGTGGCACTCTTTGCCCGATGTTGTGAAGGCTAAGACTGTAACAGGGTTCAAAAAATAACTATATAAATTCATGCAGGATAGGTCCATCAATGGTTATTAGCCAGGATGGGTAGTAATGGTGTCCCTAGCCTCTGTTTGCCAGAAACTGGGACTGGATCACTTGATTACCTGTTCTGTTATTCCCTCAGAAGCATCTGGCATTGGCCACTGTCAGACAGAATACTGGGCTAGATGGACCATTGGTCTGAGCCAGTATGGCCGTTCTTATAATCACATGTTCCTCTTGCTGCAGTTTGCACCTGCTGTGTGAAATCAGATGCTGGTTCAATTGTAGCATCTGGTAGGTAGGCAGTATCCCCTCTAATTCTGCCTGCTCCTGTGGGAGATAAGGGACTTTGTTTCTGCCCTTCTTTAGCCGGTGTGGTCAGGTGCTATTTTGCAAGTGTTGTCCAACAGTCTGATGTGTACCTTGACCCTGTATTGTATACACTTTACTGACCTCTCCCAAGTTATGTAGCACGAACCCTGCATATGTGAGACTAGTGTGAGAAATACTATCCCGTGTAAACAAGCACAGACTCGCTAACTGAATCACCAGAAAACCAAACAAATAATGGACATTTGAGGGCACCATTTCCCATTGTCAACTGGGTTTCTTGTTAAGAAGCCAGTTTTGACTGCTAAAAGCTTAAAGCAGTCCCTACCCCATTGTTTTGTGAGGGTTGTTGCATGTTTAATATTTGCTCAGCTGTTTTAAAAATGTTCTTTTTCCAGAGGAAACTGTGTAGCCCTTTCTATGAGCCTCTGGTGCTATGCAGTGAGAGAGCATTCTGTAGAAAGACAGCAAAAACCCCACCAAAAACCAAGTGACTGGGAAATCTTATGAGAACAGACTGTTGATTTCTAGAGCTTTCTGGTTCCAGCTGGGCCAAAAACACCCAAGACAGCCTTTCTTGTGGTAATCACACATTCTGTCTCTGCAGCAACACGGAAGTGCAGAGGCAGGTGAATTTAAAGATCACCCACACTTAAACATTTGAGAAAGGTTTGTTAAGAGGAATGGGAAAAGATCTGGATCACTCTTTACCTTATCTGAACCTGTTTGGCCATCTGGACTCTGTTATAATCAAGGAATGATGGGGATAGAATAGGTATAAGATCAGTAATAACTTTCCCTGGAAACAATTTTAAGAACAGCATACACAGTCTTTCAAATTAATTTGACCTTTAAAAAATACATTGAAAAGTAGAAAACCTTTTGCGGTATACAAGACATACTATGCTTAGGCTTGGAAGGATTAGACTTTTTTCATCGGTAAGTGTCAAACAATTTCACCCTACACACAGATGAAAAAATATTTCCATTGATAGACATTTACAGACAGGCAAAGTAAGAAAAATGCTGCTTGAGAACTTAGTTTGATTTAAGGATATTTAATTTGTATATTTTGACATGTGATGTTCACAATCTGTGTTTTAACAGTTATAAAGCTTTAACTTTTTGAATTGTAATGTCTACTGTCATTCAATAAGTGTCTAATCCTTGCCTTGTAATTTCCTTCAACTGAAAATTTAAATAGATAAAAATAGGAAAAAAATTCTTAAATAAACATCTGTTGAAATTATTTTAAAAATGGAATCCTGCCAAGCCTACCCAGGCTTATGGTAAAAGCACTGACAGCTCTTGACCAAGCTCTTATACAGCGAGGCTGAAGTTTGGAAGAGTATCAATCCCATGGGGTTTTAAAAGCAAAGAACCAAAACTAAAATTGGATCCCATTCTTGATATTACTCTGTCAGATAATTGTAGCTATGAACACCAAGTACATCCAGTACTGTCCAACTAGAGAGGGCCCAGTCAACACTGGCTGAATCAGTTAAACTCATTTTAGATTTGAATACTGTTCTAGCCCGTTCAAGTTTATGCTACCCTCATCATCAAGTATCTGAGCACCTTCGATGTATATTATGATATATGTAAAATAAGCCATGTGATTTATTCTGTCACAAAGAAGATACTCTGAGCATATATTTTTTTAAGTTAGACTTTCTTTTGTATTAGTGAAGGCAAGGAAAAATCTGCCTTGGCCTTAGAATGGAAGGTGGTGAGGTTTATGATGGGGTAGGTCCAGTGGGAGTTCATTCAGCAATCTTTAGCTAGCCCCCATGAAAGCGCTACTTCCTGCACAGATAACCTTTACCCTCGCTAGAGACACTTACATTGTGACTGAGGAGCAAAGATGTCAAACACAGTCCTTGTCCTGGAATTATGACTTTGACACAATATTCCTTGGGGAGCCAGTGTAGAGCTGAGGGCAAGTTTGATGTGTTCACAGTAGCTGCACTGCTGTATTTTGCAATAGCTGGAGTTTCCTGCAGGCTGATTGCTTCATGTCCACATAGTTTGTATTGCTGTAGCCCAGCTGGGAGGTGACTAATGCATACATTATTGAGGGCAGGTAATCCACCCCCAGAAGAAGATAGAGACGTTTAAACAGCTGGACACGGTAGCAAGCAACTCATTCTCAGGAAGAGCTTAGCATCAGCAAGGAATCCAGGAGCACTCCTAAACTGCAAACTGACTTGATCAACTGTGTATATGTATCATTAACCAAAGGAGACTGGACAGTGGCTGCAAACTCAGTGCTTTCCTCCGACATCAGCATCACGTGTCTTGCCTGGATTCAGCTTCAACCAGCTTTTGTTCAGCCATGAGCTGGTCTCATCCAATCACTAACTTGCTGAAAGTGGCATTATTGTACATGGCAGAGAGAAGGTAGAGCTGTGTTCATCTGCATATTGTTGGCAATACAGTACATGTACACATTGAGCAGAAGTGTAAAAGCATTGATCCTTGGAGGATACTCAAAGTAAGGCATTTGGTGGCAAAGGAGCAGCTTTTCCATCACTAGGGCTTTGAGCCAATGCTTTCAGAAAGGACTCAAAGCATCCTCCCACGTTGCCCAGGACTCCTGCCATCTACCTCAGTTTCTCATGCTCAGCAAGATCAAATGCTGCAGAAGGAGGATGGCAGTCTGCCTCCATCCATCTACAGCAGGTCAGCCATCAGTACTGCTAATGCTGTATCCATCTACTCGCTCAAATCCAAACTGTCTGGTCCCATAGTACAAAGCATGTTTAAATGGAGTTTAAAAGCGGTCCAAGCTAAGGTCCTGTCTCCAGTAGAAAACTATACCATATGTACAGTAGTAGTGGCCCAGAACTCTCAGACCACGTAAATTCTATTTTGCCAACACTTATCCACACAGCCAGCAGCATGTTAACCACTTCAACTGCATATGGCCTCAGTGGCAGGAGGCCTAATTGTAGCATGTAAGCTAATTTACTAGTGTTACTAGCATTAGCACCACAACTTTAAAACCAAGCATAGGCTAAGAACAAGTGTTATTTATACTTCATCAGGGCAAGGCTAACATGGTATCAAGTATGCCTTTAAAACGGCAGCAAGTGTGTGTAGACACTCAGCCAACAATAACATGTCAAAATTGTCCAGAGTAGATGAGGCTTAAGGCTAACTGTTACAGAACATGTTTTGCCTTGAGTTTAGGCAAGAGAAAGGAGGGCAACAAGCGGTCGCTGTCTCAAGATATAAGGGGAAAGAGTTGGATCAAGTGCCAGCAAATATACTCACCTCTACAAAACAAAGGAATGACACAGGTCATGTCCCACAACCCTTACAAACTACGTGTGCAAGAGTATACACTTTTCAAAAACAATCTGTTTATTTTGATATCCTAACCTAAACTTGGGACATATCTGGCCCAGAAACATTCTGCTAGCCTCCCCCAGCTCTGATGAGTTTGGGGAAAAGCCTGCAAATCATTCTCCTATACAAGATTGAAACTTCAATTACACTCAGAGCCAGGCAACAGAAGATGATGTTATACCTACATTCTAAAAGTTAGTTTCCATAACTACAAACCATAGCTAAGCTTTAACCAAGAGCTAACAGTCGTTCTTCAAATATTTTCCTACAATCAGGGGCAGGAGCTGTCTAGAAGTTGGATCATGTTTTATAACCACATCTAGGACACTGAACATATTGCAAACTTCCCCTTCCCCATTTGTTAAATAAGTAAAATGACATTTATTTGGTTTTCTACTAAGTTCTTGTGCAGGGCTAGTATTGCTAGGGGAGACATCAACAGGAGCTTTAAAGCTTAATCCTAATCAACACTGGAATGCTTTACACACATTTTATAAACCAGATTTTTAAAATCTAGTGTATAAACATTGTATTAGTATGAGAGGTTGACAAGGGTGTCTCAGTTAAGATATTACTTTTATTTTCTATTTTTAGCAGCATAACACAAGTTTGGTTTTCTATGCCTTCTAATATCTATTTAAGGAATGATACAAGAATCAGCTGCAGCGATTTAGTATCTGCAAGTCAGCAGGAGAGG